CCGCCAAGCCCTGACCCCTCACCACCCAGTCCGCCACCCCCCAGCCCCGATCCTTCACCACCCAGTTTGTCACCGCCCAGCCCTGACCCTTCACCACCCAGTCCATCTCCTCCAAGCCCTGATCCTTCACCACCCAGCCCCTCACCGCCCAGCCCTGACCCCTCACCACCCAGCCCCTCACCGCCAAGCCCTGACCCTTCACCACCCAGTCCGTCACCGCCCAGCCCTGACCCCTCACCACCCAGCCCCACATCGCCAAGCCCTCGCCCTTCACCACCAAGCCCCTCACCGCCAAGCCCTGATCCTTCACCACCTACTCCTTCACCGCCAAGCCCTCGCCCTTCACCACCCAGTCCGTCACCGCCCAGCCCTGACCCCTCACCACCCAGCCCCTCACCGCCAAGCCCTCGCCCTTCACCACCCAGCCCCTCACCGCCAAGCCCTGATCCTTCACCACCCAGCCCTTCACCGCCAAGCCCTGACCCCTCACCACCCAGTCCGTCACCCCCCAGCCCCGATTCTTCATCACCCAGTTTGTCACCGCCCAGCCCCGAACCTTTACCACCCAGTCCATCTCCTCCAAGCCCTGATCCTTCCCCGCCAAGCCCTGACCCATCACCGCCTTCGCCTTCACCGCCCAGCCCTGAACCTTCACCACCTACTCTTTCACCGCCCAGCCCTCGCCCTTCACCACCCAGCCCCTCACCGCCAAGCCCTGACCCTTCACCACCCAGCCCATCTCCTCCAAGCCCTGATCCTTCACCACCCAGCCCCTCACCGCCCAGCCCTGACCCCTCACCACCCAGCCCCTCACCGCCAAGCCCTGACCCTTCACCACCCAGTCCGTCACCGCCCAGCCCTGACCCCTCACCACCCAGCCCCTCACCGCCAAGCCCTCGCCCTTCACCACCCAGCCCCTCACCGCCAAGCCCTGATCCTTCACCACCCAGCCCCTCACCGCCCAGCCCTGACCCTTCACCACCTACTCCTTCACCGCCAAGCCCTCGCCCTTCACCACCCAGCCCCTCACCGCCAAGCCCTGATCCTTCACCACCCAGTCCGTCACCTCCCAGCCCCGATCCTTCACCACCCAGTCTGTCACCGTCCAGCCCTCACCCTTCACCACCCAGTCCATCTCCTCCTAGCCCCGATCCTTCTTGCAAAGCCCGGACCCATCACCGCCTTCCCCTCTACCGCCCAGCCCCGATTCTTCACCACCCAGTCCGTCACCGCCCAGCTCTGACCCCTCACCACCCAGTCCGTCACCCCCCAGCCCCGATTCTTCACATCCCAGTCTGTCACCGCCCAGCCCTGACCCTTCACCACCTACTCCTTCACCGCCAATCCCTCGCCCTTCACCGCCCAGCCCCTCACCGCCAAGCCCTGAACCTTCACAACCTACCCCTTCACCGCCCAGCCCTGACCCCTCACCACCCAGCCCCTCCCCGCCAAGCCCCGATCCTTCACCACCCAGTCTGTCACCGCCCAGCCCTGACCCTTCACCACCCAGTCCATCTCCTCCAAGCCCTGATCCTTCCCCGCAAAGCCCGGACCCATCACCGCCTTCCCCTTTACCGCCCAGCCCCGATCCTTCACCACCCAGTCCGTCACCGCCCAGCCCTGAACCTTCACCACCCAGTCCGTCACCGCCAAGCCCTGATCCTTCACCACCCAGCCCCTCACCGCCCAGCCCTGACCCCTCACCACCCAGCCCCTCACCGCCAATCCCTCGCCCTTCACCACCCAGCCCCTCACCGCCAACCCCGGAACCTTCACCACCTACACCTTCACCGCCCAGCCCTGACCCCTCACCACCTAGTCCGTCACCCCCCAGCCCCGATCCTTCGCCACCCAGTCTGTCACCGCCCAGCCCTGACCCTTCACCACCCAGTCCATCTCCTCCAAGCCCTGATCCTTCCCCGCAAAGCCCGGACCCATCACCGCCTTCCCCTTCACCGCCCAGCCCCGATCCTTCACCACCCAGTCCGTCACCGCCCAGCCCTGAACCTTCACCACCCAGTCCGTCACCGCCAAGCCCTGACCCTTCACCACCCAGCCCCTCACCGCCCAGCCCTGACCCTTCACCACCTACTCCTTCACCGCCAAGCCCTCGCCCTTCACCACTCAGCCCCTCACCGCCAAGCCCTGATCTTTCAGCACCCAGCCCTTCACCGCCAAGCCCTGACCCCTCACAACCCAGTCCGTCACCCCCCAGCCCCGATCCTTCACCACCCAGTCTGTCACCGCCCAGCCCTGACCCTTCACCACCCAGTCCATCTCCTCCAAGCCCTGATCCATCCTCGCCAAGCCCTGACCCATCACCGCCTTCGCCTTCGCTTTCACCGCCCAGCCCTGAACCTTCACCACCTACTCTTTCACCGCCCAGCCCTCGCCCTTCACCACCCAGCCCCTCACCGCCCAGCCCTGACCCCTCACCACCCAGTCCGTCACCGCCCAGCCCTGACCCTTTACCACCCAGTCCATCTCCTCCAAGCCCTCATCCTTTTCCGCCAAGCTCTGACCCACCACCGCCTTCGCCTTCACCGCCAAGCCCTGAACCTTCACCACCTACTCCTTCACCGCCCAGCCCTCGCCCTTCGCCACCCAGTCCGTCACCGCCCAGCCCTGATCCTTCACCACCCAGTCTCTTGGCTCCAAGCCCTGATCCTTCTCCGCCAAGCTCTGACCCACCACCGCCCTCGCCTTCACCGCCAAGCCCTGATCCTTTACCTGCCTCGCCTTCACCGCCAAGCCATGGCATTGTCGTACCCAGCTTCGCACCTCCGTCGCCCCCGCCAGGAGGACCCCAGCCAAGCCCGCTCCTCACCAGCCCTTCACCTCCTACTCCCTCGCCTCCAGGGCCCGAGCCGCCCAACCCTAGACCAGAACCACCCACCCCTATTCTGAGCAGCCCCTCTCCACCCGTCACATCTCAGCCACCCAGCCCGTTGCCACCGTCTCCCGCACCGTCACCTTTTCATCCCGTCCCCCCTAGCTTGGCGCCCCCCATCCCAATACCATTAAGTCCATTTCCTTCAGTTTCACCTCTGCCTCGAAGCCCTGCGCTTCCACGACCTTCTCCAAGCCCATCTCCAAGCCCCCCTCCACTGCCCCCTCCTGTTCCGCCTCCCCGACCCCCACCTAGCCCATCTCCACTTCCGCCCAGTCCACTCCCACCCCCTCCCAGACCGCCTCCATTCATCCAACAGCCGTCTCCCTGGCCTCCAAGACCACCGCTTCCAGAGCCCTCATCCACCCAAGGCCCGACAAGGTCACCACTGCCACCCCTTCCAATCCCCCTGCCCACACCACCACCGCCAGCTCCATCACCTCCTCGTGTACCGCCTCCGGATCCGCTCAGTCCTCCACCTAGCCCACCGCCTTCCAATGCACCACCACCACTTCCCCCTTCACCGTTTCCCCAACCCCCCTCACCTCGAACTCCACCCGCTACACCGCCTCCACTTATTCCTCCACCTCCGCCCCCCAAGCCTCCGAATCCTCGGCCCCCAAAGCGGCCATCTTCACCTCTAAAACCACCATCTCCAGCACCGCCGATACCCTATCCACCACCTCCAAGCCCCTCTCCCCCTCCGCCTTCAATTCCATTCCCACCCGATCCTCCACCCTCTCCACCTTCGCCTCCGCCAGAACCTCCGCTTCCACCACTCAAGCGTTACCGCTCACCTCCACGTCTTCCACCCCCACCCGCCCCGCCCCTGCCCTCCAGCCCGTCCCCTCCCTTTCCAATTAACCCACCATCCCCGCCAAGTCCTCCCCCGACTCCGCCAAAACGTCCGCGTGCGCCTAAACGGCCATCGCCCCCACCGCTGCAACCAGCCGCACCACCACCGCCACCACCAACGATGGTTTGGGGAAGCTCTGCTCATGGCCCATATGTGAGTATCGCCTCTCACTGCCTCAATAGATGCCTCACTTGTTTATTGGGTTTCAATGCTAGGACACTCTCGCATGCGTCGGGCACGCCCTGAGTGTTGTGGCTGCGGGTCTGTCGTATTGCGTTTGGTAATGTCTCCAAGGCTTCATGAAGGCTGCATACGGGCTTGCCATGTTGCGCTTACTGTCGTTGACCACCTGGACGTCAAGTTAGGTTATGTGGCTACACTAGCTGACTTGTGGTTGTCGTCGCTTCCCAAAGAAGTGCAGCAGTGCAATTTTAAGGTTGAGGAGAGGCCGTTTCATGGCTACTACCCTTTTCCTGCCGCTTTCTGGCTGTCTGGGCTTAATGCCTCTGTCCATCTTTCCTAGGTTTCTATGGCTTTTGTTCCCTGGGTGCCTTTTGTTTGTTTGCTGGTTTTGCGGCTTACCTTGTTTCCCACGCATTGTAGGGTTCCGTTGGGTTTAGCACCCGTGTTTTTTTGGGGGGGATTACCAGAACGGTCAATTGTATAGAAGTTAACAATCCCCATGAGTGCACCATGCAGGATCCCCAAGGGAGCAGCGCCACCCTGGGCGACGTAAATCGGCTCCTGGGCCCTCCCAGCGAGAAGGCGCTGGCCGCTAAGAGCTGCAAGCCCGTGATCACCCTGGGGTGGGTCGCTACCATACGGGTAAGTTCATGCGACAACAGGGCATGCATCGACGGCACATGCTGATATGTACGACTTTCCGCGATGTCCCACGTCACTTAGCCCCCGTGGGTATGTGTAAGCAGAACACAGTAAATGAAAGTCATATTGAATGGATGACCGTTATAATGGTTCCCTAAACGGGAACACGGGTGATGAACCCAACCCGTGTGCGTTATCGCAGAGGTCCTTCAATCACCTCTGTGCACCTTGCTAAATGCTTGCAGAACCCCCGTTACGCGATCGTCAAGTTCAACGTCACACCCCCCGTCCTGGGGAGCCAGCTCCAGAGTGTGGACCTGTATCTGACCAGCCGCGGCAGTCTCGCACCCGGGATAACGTCCATCGAGATGCAGATGATGTCGCCCACCGATGTGCGTAGTAACTAACTATATGCTGTATCAGTTTAATTGGACGGTTAACTAGTGACAGTCCTAAATCGGCGTTTAATCAGTAGTTGCCCGCATGAAACATCTTTGGACGCTTTCTGCACCTGTGCTGCAACGCCCCATTCTCCCCTAAATGCATGCAACCATGAGCATGTGTGTACTTCCATCACGCACTCGGAAAGGCATGTCCTCACCACTTCGCTCGCGTTGTTGTTCTTGATATGCGTTTGCACTTAATGACTACTCTCCACGCACCCGCCAAACCCCACACACAGGGCACCACCCAGTGGCTGACCATCTACACAGCAAACGTAGAGGACCAGCTAACATGCCCGGGGTGGCAGGACTTCGGAGTAACACCTGAGACGGTGCAGTCCCAAATGGCTCTCGATGCGTACAGTGGTTACCAGGTGGTTGCCGTGAAGGTGAACGTCAACGGCAGCGATGTGGCAGACAAGACCGAGCTGCCGGTGGTGGCGTCTCTTGGGCTGCACCTCTATGGTGACTCGGTGATCTCCGGTTCCTCAGGACCCAGCCCACCACCGCTGCCCCCAAGGTCTCCCCGACCCCCAAGCCCACCTCCCAGCGCCCCGGGGCCCTCCCCTCCAGGTTCACCCTCGTCCAAGCCACCTAGTCCCCCACTGGGCTCTCCCCCCTCCCCGCGCCCCTCACCACCATCTCCAGCACCACAGCCGCCTCCACAGCCGCCAAGCCCGTCTCCTTCACCTCCTGCCCTGCCGCCTCCACCCTTGCTGCCACCCTCACCACGTCCTCCATCACCCTCACCCAAGCCACCAAGCCCCCCACCGCGTATGCCCCCCTCCCCGGGCCCCTCACCACCATCTCCAGCACCACAGCCGCCTCCACAGCCGCCAAGCCCGTCTCCTTCACCTCCTGCCCTGCCGCCTCCACCCTTGCTGCCACCCTCACCACGTCCTCCATCACCCTCACCCAAGCCACCAAGCCCCCCACCGCGTATGCCCCCCTCCCCGCGCCCCTCACCACCATCCCCAGCACCACAGCCACCTCCACAGCCGCCAAGCCCGTCTCCTTCACCTCCTGCCCTGCCGCCTCCACCCTTGCTGCCACCCTCACCACGTCCTCCATCACCCTCACCCAAGCCACCCAGCCCTCCACCGCGTACGCCCCCCTCCCCGCGCCCCTCACCACCATCCCCAGCACCACAGCCGCCTCCATCGCCGCCAAGTCCTCCTCCTTCACCTCCTGCGCTTCCGCCTCCACCCTTCCTGCCACCCTCACCACGTCCTCCATCACCCTCACCCAAGCCACCCAGCCCCCCACCGCGTATGCCCCCCTCCCCGCGCCCCTCACCACCATCCCCAGCACCACGGCCGCCTCCACAGCCGCCAAGCTCTCCTCCTTCACCGCCTGCGCTTCCGCCTCCACCCTTCCTGCCACCCTCACCAAGTCCTCCTCCACCCTCACCAAAGCCTCCCGGTCCCCCACCACGGGCGCCCCGTTTCCGGCGGCCTCCACCACCATCCCCAGCACCACAGCCACCTCCACAGCCGCCAAGCCCGTCTCCTTCACCTCCCACGCTGCCGCCTCCACCCTTCCTGCCACCCTCACCACGTCCTCCATCACCCTCACCCAAGCCACCCAGCCCCCCACCGCGTATGCCCCCCTCCCCGCGCCCCTCACCACCATCCCCAGCACCACAGCCGCCTCCACAGCCGCCAAGCCCGTCACCTTCACCTCCTGCCCTGCCGCCTCCACCCTTCCTGCCACCCTCACCACTTCCTCCATCACCCTCACCCAAGCCACCAAGCCCCCCACCGCGTATGCCCCCCTCCCCGCGCCCCTCACCACCATCCCCAGCACCACAGCCGCCTCCACAGCCGCCAAGCCCGTCTCCTTCACCTCCTACCCTGCCGCCTCCACCCTTGCTGCCACCCTCACCACGTCCTCCATCACCCTCACCCAAGCCACCAAGCCCCCCACCGCGTATGCCCCCCTCCCCGCGCCCCTCACCACCATCCCCAGCACCACAGCCGCCTCCACAGCCGCCAAGCCCGTCTCCTTCAACTCCTGCCCTGCCGCCGCCACCCTTCCTGCCACCCTCACCACTTCCTCCATCACCCTCACCCAAGCCACCCAGCCCCCCACCGCGTATGCCCCCCTCCCCGCGCCCCTCACCACCATCCCCAGCACCACAGCCGCCTCCACAGCCGCCAAGCCCGTCTCCTTCACCTCCTGCCCTGCCGCCTCCACCCTTGCTGCCACCCTCACCACGTCCTCCATCACCCTCACCCAAGCCACCAAGCCCCCCACCGCGTATGCCCCCCTCCCCGCGCCCCTCACCACCATCTCCAGCACCACAGCCGCCTCCACAGCCGCCAAGCCCGTCTCCTTCACCTCCTGCCCTGCCGCCTCCACCCTTGCTGCCACCCTCACCACGTCCTCCATCACCCTCACCCAAGCCACCAAGCCCCCCACCGCGTATGCCCCCCTCCCCGCGCCCCTCACCACCATCCCCAGCACCACAACCGCCTCCACAGCCACCAAGCCCGTCTCCTTCACCTCCTGCGCTGCCGCCTCCGCCATATTTGCCGCTATCACCAAGCCCTCCTCCGCCATCGCCCAAGCCTCCCGGTCCCCCACCACGGTCGCCGCGTTTCCTGCGGCCTCCACCCTCGTCACCAGTACCTCTCCCGCCTACATCACCGCCAAATCCGTCACCTGTACCCCCTTCGCTGCCGCCTCCACCCATGTTGCCGCCTTCACCTCACCCACCATCGCCCTCACCCAAGCCACCAAGTCCCCCACCACGAATGCCCCCCTCCCCGCGCCCCTCACCACCATCCCCAGCACCAACACCGCCTCCTTCGATGCCACGCCCCTCTCCTGTACCTCCGTCACTACCCTTTTTCCCTCCACCTCCACATCCTCCACTTCCCTCACCCTCTCCTCGGGCCCCACCCCGAAGTCCCCCCTCACCACCTCCCACCCCACCTTCACCACGGCCTCCGGCACCACCTTCACTGCCCAGCCCATCTCCCGCACCTCCCGCGCTGCCGTCCACACCACTGTTAGCGCCACCCTCGCCCAGTCCTCCCGCACCCTCGCCACACCCTCCCGCACCCTCGCCCAAGCCACCATCACCCCTGCCACCGCGGCCTGCTGCTCCTCAACCAAGCCCAACACCCTTGACACCTGTGCTGTCGAGTCCACCTCTTACCCCACCTCCATCCCCGCCCACGTCGCCGCCCTCTCCACGATCGCCTTCGTCCTCATCAGGCCCCCCATCCCCTCCACCCAAGCGTCCTCGGGCGCCTCGCCCCTCACCCTCACCGCCGCTACAACCGCCCGTGCCTCCACCACCACCACCAAGGATGGTCTGGGGAAGCTCTGCTCGTGGCCCATATGTGAGTGCTCCCTAATACAGTGCATGCATACAGCCAAGTGCTCAACTACGGCAGCACCTTGATTAACTGAGGGTCCATGTACATTCCATGATGAGCGTTCCTGCTTGCAATCGTCGGTTCATTACACGTCCTGACCCGCAGGATCCCGAAGGCAGCAGCAGCACTCTTGGCAACGTCAACCGGCTGTTGGGCCCTCCCAGTGACCTGGCGCTGGCTGCCAAGACATGCAAAGCTGTCCTCACCCTGGGATGGGTCGCTACCGTACGGGTGAGTCCAGTGGCATCTTTAGGATGGGGTGCAATTCAAGGACACGCTACCCTTCACTGACCTTGGCAACAGTCGCAAGACTCAGCACTCGAAAGGAATTGCCATGCATGTTGCCTTGAGGGTCGCAAGACGTGCGGGGTGTGGATCGTGTGACGCAACACTTCCTTGCTTCTCTTCTTGCTTGCAGATCCCCCGATACGCGGTCGTTGACTTCAACGTCACGCCCCCCGTCCTGGGGAGCCAGCTCCAGAGTGTGGACCTGTATCTGACCAGCCGCGGCAGTCTTGCACCCGGGATAACGTCCATCGAGATACAGATGCGTTCACCTACCGAGGTAAGTTTGGCACATGTGACTTTGGCCGATACTACCGGTATACAATAGGATGTATATACATCGAACAATCCGTAGGTAGCCTCTGCTGAGGGTTGCATGCTTGACCCAGCAGCCTGCGCATCCAACAGTCGGATGCCTTCAGGATGTCATGTTCTCATGTACGGCAGGCTTCTGGCCCTGCATGGCACAGCAAGGCTTCCTCGACGTGGTCATATTACATTCCCCGAATTTTCCTTGACCCCACCCCTTCAACCCTCTCTCCCCTCGCAGGGCACCACCCAGTGGCTGACCATCTACACGGCGACCACAGCGGACGTGCTGACGTGCCCCGGGTGGAACTACTTTGAGGCACCACCTGAGACGGTGCAGACCCAGATGGCGCTGGATGCCTACAAAGCGGATGAAGTGGTTGCCGTGAAGGTCAACGTGAATGGCACAGATGTGGCAGACAAAACCGAGCTGCCGGTGGTGGCGTCTCTTGGTCTTCACCTCTATGGTGACTCGGTGATCTCCGGTCCCTCAGGACCCAGCCCACCACCGCTGCCCCCAAGGTCTCCACGACCCCCAATCCCGCCCCCAAGCGCCCCGGGGCCCTCCCCTCCAGGCCCCAAGACGCGACCGCCACCCAGCCCCAAGCTACTGCCATCCCCACCCAGCCCTGCACCTTCACCCCGTGTACCTTCATCCGAGCAACCTGTGCCTCCAATGCCAAGTCCACACCCGCCTCCGCCGACGCCATTCACGCCTTCACCTACGCCAATGAATCATCCCCCGCCGTCCCCACTTCAGGCTCCCAGTGCTCCTCACCCTCCCCCATCACCCTCACCGCCTTCTCCACCAGCGGGCCCGTCACAAGCGGGTTCCATTCCACCCTCACCACCGCTACCAAGCCCCCCGAGCCCTTCACCAGGACAACCTGCACTACCATCACCGATGCACGGGACGTCTGCACCGCCAAGCCCAAGACCCCCTTCACCTCCATCCCCTGCACAATCACCCCTGCCACCTCGGCCTGCTGCTCCTCTACCAAGCCCAACACCCTTGACACCTGCGCTGTCGAGTCCACCTCTTATCCCACCTCCATCCCCGCTCCCGTCACCGCCCTCTCCACGATCGCCTTCGTCCTCGTCAGGCCCCCCATCCCCTCCACCCAAGCGTCCTCGGACGCCTCGCGCCTCACCCTCACCGCCGCTGCAACCGCCCGTGCCTCCACCACCACCACCAAGGATGGTCTGGGGAAGCTCTGCTCGTGGCCCATATGTGAGTGCTCCCTAATACAGTGCATGCATACAGCCAAGTGCTCAACTACGGCAGCACCTTGATTAACTGAGGGTCCATGTACATTCCATGATGAGCGCTACCTCATGCCTGTGACACACCGCTTCTTTACATGTCCATCCTGACCCGCAGGATCCCGAAGGCAGCAGCAGCACTCTTGGCAACGTCAACCGGCTGTTGGGCCCTCCCAGTGACCTGGCGCTGGCTGCCAAGACATGCAAAGCTGTCCTCACCCTGGGATGGGTCGCTACCGTACGGGTGAGTCCAGTGGCATCTTTAGGATGGGGTGCAATTCAAGGACACGCTACCCTTCACTGACCTTGGCAACAGTCGCAAGACTCAGCACTCGAAAGGAATTGCCATGCATGTTGCCTTGAGGGTCGCAAGACGTGCGGGGTGTGGATCGTGTGACACAACACTTCCTTGCTTCTCTTCTTGCTTGCAGATCCCCCGATACGCGGTCGTTGACTTCAACGTCACGCCCCCCGTCCTGGGGAGCCAGCTCCAGAGTGTGGACCTGTATCTGACCAGCCGCGGCAGTCTCGCACCCGGGATAACGTCCATCGAGATACAGATGCGTTCACCGTTTGCGGTGCGTCGTATACAACTGGCATGCCTCGTTTCTGCGTGACTCCTTTGATTCGTTATCCGTTTGGTCACTTTTAGCTTGGTCTACGATACGCCTTTCCGTACTAATTGTCGTACTACTAATTTTTAATACTTCTCCTCGGCGCATATGCCTCGTATATCTGGTAAATTTTCAAGACCACCAGTATGGGACTACTGGGTAATAGGATATATTTAGCATTAAAAGGAAGTCCGTCGCCTTCTATTTTCTTCTTTAGACTTATGTACGTACCGCACGACGTACAGTTGTACCTGCTCCTGAGGGTTGCATACCTTGACCGAGCAGACACAGGCATCGACCGAAAGCCTCCAGGGTGACTCGGCGGGCTATCTTGCCACGCATGATACAAAAAAGGCTTCTGTGGTGCATGCATTGACACCCACTACGACCCCACCCCTTCAACCCTCTCTCCCCTCGCAGGGCACCACCCAGTGGCTGACCATCTACACGGCGACCACAGCGGACGTGCTGACGTGCCCCGGGTGGAACTACTTTGAGGCACCACCTGAGACGGTGCAGACCCAGATGGCGCTGGATGCCTACAAAGCGGATGAAGTGGTTGCCGTGAAGGTCAATGTCAATGGCACAGATGTGGCAGACAAAACCGAGCTGCCGGTGGTGGCGTCTCTTGGGCTGCACCTCTACGACGACTTTGTGATCTCCGGTTCCTCAGGACCCAGCCCACCACCGCTGCCCCCAAGGTCTCCACGGCCACCAAGCCCACCGCCTCCGCTCGCTCTAGCTTCTACAACCACTCGCAGGCTCACCTCATCACTGACGCCGACATCACCTTCAAAGCCCACACACTCATGGCATCTCCATCCTCCTTCCCCAGCACCGGACGTCGTGGTTTGGGCAACCTCCGCAACCTGCTATGTAGGTCATCGCAAAAAGGCGGTCAAAGCACGCTGTTCCCCTGTAAGTTGCTGGGTCCAACTACTTTGCCAATTGGTCCCATGCATGTACGCAGGATAACAGCTCAACGTCGGGCGCCATACTGAAGCGCATGGTGGGGCCTCCTAGTGCCAAAGTCCTCGCCATCAAGGCATGCAAGGCAACGACAACCTTGGGCTGGGTTCCATCTATGAAGGTTAGTCAATGGAGTACATACTGCTAAAACTGCTAAAAGGAAAGGGAAGCTGCCCCCCGGGCTGCCCGGGCAGTGAGGGGGGCCCGGCACCTGAGGGTTCAATTGACATCCAGATAAATGGCTGCCTCCAATAATGTCGGTAGAACCAAACGACTTTTGGAGTACCGGTACAGGTACGGGCTACGAAGCGGCTGGCAAAATCACCGGTTGTTACCGTGTCTATATGTGGCGTGTTATTAAAACAGCTAGGCCTTACCGTACGGCCTACGTACACACGGACGTGACATCTGAGTTCCCTCGCTCTCTTTCCGTGCCGTACAGAGTCCAAGCTATGCTGTTGCCAACTTCAACGTTAGCCCCCTCGTCATTGCCAACCGTGTGGAGAGTGTTGATGTGTACCTTCTCAGCCGCGGCACTTCAAACCACGGCATTACCTCCATCGACATCCAGTTGATGGCAACTGCCGAGGTACGTGTAAGCCTTTGTATCACCTCGCTCTTCCACTGCTCTACCTCTGCTCGCTGGCTTGATAACAGGACCACGGATCCTTGCTTCCCAAATCAGTATGCTCACTCAGCGCTAACAGAGGGTATGGGAACCGAGATTTTATGGGCCTTTCCTAAGGTCGTGATGACCCTTGCCACCGCCGCTGGTATACCCACACAGGGAGTGAGTCACTGGACAACCATCTACACAGCCAGTGCGGCAGATCGTCTCGTATGCCCGGGCATTAAACGCTTTCCTGTGAAGGGCGGCGCTGCGCAGTTGCCCATTACACAGGAGGTACTCGGCGCGGCTCAGGTGGCGGCTGTGAAAATACACGTTAACGGCACTGGCGTTGCCGACAAGAGCCAGTTGCCAATTGTAGCCGCAGTCGGGCTCAATCTTGGCGATGGCACGGCCTAATTCAGTAATTGTGGTAGCAGCAGTAGTAGTAGACAAATTGTGGAGCCTCTCATATCCGTTACAGTGCGCCGCCGTGAGTCGTACGTCAAGGTTGAAATCGGATGCCATGTATATGCCATATGGGTTTCTGGATGTTTTACCCAGTTGATGCGCATTAGGAAGACGCCTGCATAAGCGGTTTCCATAAGTAAGGTATCACTTCCTGAGCTGCTGTGTTTACCTTTTGTCTCCGGAAATGCCGGAAGTCGCTTCCTCTTGACAGATTTGTCAGCAGCAGGCTGTTATTATCTGTGCTTTCCATTCGCTACCTGATAAGGTGCTTTGGCTAACTTTACAAGGTGCAGGATGCAAGAAAAGTGCATTCTTGCGGGGTAGGTGCAGTCGTATTATTTCCCTCCATATTTCCGTGTCTTTAGCAGAACCGGGAGTAGGATGCTGGGAGATGAGCGTCGGTGCGCATGCAGCAAGTCCACTATACACGAGTGGATGGGGGGATAGTGTTGGAGTGGGGTGATACGGATTGCCAATGCAACCCGCTTGACAATGGTCTATCATCCCTAGGTTTGCTCGGGTTGTGACCATGTGGCAGAAGGGGACGGTTCATACACGATGTCCACCCATTATTTGGCGGGACTTGCGTTTCCAAGCAGCTGCGTGCGTTGGTTGATTGTGGAAAACCGCGAATATTTCGGGCGCTTACCCGGCTCAGTATGGTGGTACGTACGTATGTAGACCGTTATGTTGGAATTGCTCGACACACCACCATCGGACAATGAATGCTTGCAGAGTCAGGAATCCCTGCATTGCAGCTAACCTATGCCTGTGCAGAAGAGTCTTCAGGTTTTAGACTTTAGCTGCCACGTTTGTGTGTTTGAGTGTTGCTGTGGTGTCAAGTGCCGTAATATCAGGGGGCTCGCTCAATTACGAAGCAATGACTTGCTTGTTTGTCTTCTATGCAATGTTTGCTGAAATTAGTAGAAATTAGTAGTAGCCAGAAACTGGCGGTTTATCCTAGCGGGAACGCCTAGGTGATGTTGTGATTTCATATATCCATTTTTTGCCAAGTCCTCGGATGTGGGGAACGTGTGGGCAAGCCCAGGGGTCTCTCACCTCGAAGAATTGTTCAGTTTGTATTCGTGCGTGCGTGGTGGTGCAAAAAACCGCTGGGCGCCGAGCTTGTTAGGAAAAGTCGTCATAAGCAGTAAACGCATGACGAAGACCACATAGCAGCAGCATGGCATGTGTGTGCGCGCGTGACGACAAATTGTGGCGGATCTGTGCAGTCGGAGGAACAGTTCTGCCCTCTGCCGGCAGGGTGGAGGTGCCTTCGCAAGCAAGTGGCCGCTGTTGTATGGGCAGGCGGGAATGCCTGCGTGCATGGATGCAAGTGCAATGGCGGCAGGATGGCGGTTCCCCCGCGCATGGGTGCCGGTTTTGGAAAGTATGGGCAGCCCGCGTGTTTGTGCCTTCTAGTTCGCGGTGTGTGCTACGCTCACTGCAGCGGAAGGGTGTCGTTAGTGCAATATTTACTGCCCCCGTTTACATTGTTTCGTATCTAGGGTGAGGAATAACCGCTAGAGTATCCCTCCTCGTGATAACGGCGCAAATAGTAAAAACATTAATAGTATCTTGGGTGACGTGTCTGGCCAGCTTGCCTGCCCTGCGCGGGGCCGTCAGATAATAATATGCGAATTGCCCTGCGCGGTGTCCTGGTGACCCATGGGTCACATTGGGGCTTTATTGTGCGAAGGCAGCGGGCAATTCCATGCACCAAGCAAATGCACATCCATACACCATCATGTTAATTGTGTACGATGCATGTTACTGGTATATTAAGAATACACTTGTGGGGAGGAGAGACAAGAGGGCAACATGGGTAAAACGGCATAGGACATCACTCATAAGTGTTAACCAACACTATGGTCGCCAGTCCTAAGGACGGCAGTGTCGTGCCTTTCCGGACCAAGACGCCCACTCCGGCATCTGCTATGCTTGTCACCGAGAGGCAGGTACCACTCATCCTCGTGGACCGCAGTAGGCACCAAGATCTCCTGAGGCCATGGGATCGGGGATTGCGATCAAGGTGCGTGTAGGGCGCACACGTAGATAGATGTCATCACGGGCTGCAGCCACAGATGTAGTCGTACAATTTGCGGCGCATGCACGCCAGCACCAACCCTGCACTACACGTGCAGACACTCCAGCTGACATTGATGCCACATACCAATTGTCCTACTCACACTAGCTGCAATGTAGGAAAACAGCGGTTGTCATGGGTTTCCAGCATTGCGTCAGACGACGCTTTTGGGTACCTGCAAGCAGAGAAAGAGGTTTTTCCGAAGGTGATGGGGAGCGAGTGTTGGTCCACCGTGTAACGTGCACCAGTGACCTCGTAGTATGGTGCGACGTGACACGGCGGTCTCGGATCTTACGAACAAGCTCACGAAAGTACTAACCCAACGCAACTGCGTTCCCTAAGACACTGCTCACGCTGTCGTACAACCGTACAACCAACCCAACCGCTTTGCTGTACGAACACAGGGAATCACGGTTTCCGCAATAGCTACGCTTGGTTGCGGAAACCGTTTAGTTGTCCCTTCAATTCCACGGCATTGAAGGGACAACTAAACGGTTTCCGCAACACCCGGCCGCGGCACCCGGCCGCTGTCAATCCTCCGTTTGTAACGTGCTTATTGCTCAGTAGCGCCGTCACCTGGTGTTGTCTGGGGTAACAGGACAGGAAAGGAGGGTCATATGGAACACAGGTTAGGAGGTGGAGTACGAGCAAGAGGGAGGACTCGACAGGAGGTAAAGTGCATGTATGCGGTACACGTGCGTCAGCACAATCGGCCACTAGTGCATCTTTAACATGGGTTTGGGCGTCGGGACGTGTGGGTTAAGGTTGGGGTTCTCGGTTGGTGTGGAGGCGACGTACGGTTGGTTGGCTTCGGCCTACATTATCTGCTTTAACGCATCACGGCAGCTAAATCAAGGAGTGCATGTATGCGGTACACGTGCGTGTAGAGCTGAGATGTTGGTCAGGTGGCCAAAATGCACACATGTCTAGGGGCAAGCAAGCCAAACGTAAAGGAGATGCCAGCCGCGCTTGCTCATGCTCAACCTTAGAAGAGAAGCTCTGCAGGTGCTGGCCCCGACGACCGTATTGCAAGTCCTTATCAGTGTTAGAGCAAATACTCATTGCACCCCGCAGGCGTCGCCTGATGCGCGCAATTATGCGCGTCTTCGTGATAGCAACACGGTCGTTGTTGTGGCCAAGACTATGCGGTGACCAAGATTGCCGACGGCGTCTAAGACGCCGCTATCACCGCAGATGCCGAATGGCATTCGTGTACTTTGCAACAGCAGCGCTAAGACTGCGCAACGTCATATGGGGCCAAGATAGGTCCCAACAGTATTCCTTCCTGTAGCGGCGTGAAACAATCCTAGCTTTATTGTAGGGTATGTATGCCAGCTCCGGTACTACAAAGCTCTACTGTGTGGTACAGCATTTGTCATATCAGCAAAATGGCAAGTACATCGGTACAGGGGGTGATATTGCGACCAGCACTCTGTATTAAGAAGTTCGGGTGTAAGATGCCAAAGTAGCCTTACCTTTATCTTTTCAATAATCCGTAATTGACATATTAGCAGCGATGGCATTAACTATGAAAAGATTACTACGCTGTAATGCTTCATCGTGCTGGAATGCCAATGCCCTTCCGCCTGCAATAGTTACGGCCCGTCGTCTTCGGCCATCATGTTCAGCAAACAGGGCAACCTTTCAACCCAGCTCTCGGAGGATGGAGGTCCTGGAGGTGCGGGAATGGGCTTAAACTTATTGGCGTTATGGTGATGGGATCCAACATACCGTAGTCCTCAACCACTTGGGCTTCGTTTGTGACCCCTATTATTTACCATGCCTTTCCACGCCAAGTTCAGACCAAGCCGCTATAAGTCCCGCTTGGGGAACAGTTGCAACACAGTGCACCACAACTGGCAAGCAGTGCTAAGAGTATATTGTACGCCCTAACTAATGCATAGGAAGACAAACACGAGTTTTTCTGGGGTCGCCCTGTGGCAGCAGAGCACCATGCGCGGGTAGCACCAGCAGCAACCGCAACACCGGGTCCTGATAAAGCAACGCCTCGAGGCACTGATGCCCAGGGCAGAGCATCAGCAGATGCAGATGCAACATCCCCTGGACGCCAATCGGCTGTGGGAAGTCCCACACCGTGTCCTGGACCCTTGGGAGCAGCCGCAGAGCCACCGGCGGTGTCAGGACTTCTGCTGGGAGCTACATGACCCTTCCGCCAGAGGCTTTCCACCGGATTGCTGGTGCAGATGGTGTTGAGGACATGCTTTGGGTAAGGAAACCACGGTCAATGGGTTACTGCCAAGAGTGGACTGGGTTGATACTCGCTTCCATAGATATCCCAGATTCACGCCTGCTCCTTCTGGCGGACATCTCCTCAGTTTCGGTTCCGGTTGACCATGGCTTACTTCAGGAACTGCGTCGCGCTGTTGGAGAGTCTGCCGGTGGCGGCGTCAGTAGCAGCGATAGCAGCAATGGAATGTGGAGCAACAGGCCCCTGCTGCCTGCACGCGTCTGTGAGGTTGCCATGAAAAAGTAAGGTAACGGGCATATGCAAGCTAGTATCCGCGATATTAAACCCGTAAACCAATGTTTAGATCGATGCATCAGCCTGTGAGTCTAAGAATCCAGATGCAACATGCTCCGATATATATTAATTTCCGATGCTCCATTCAGTCCCTAGCTCCCTAGTAAAAGGCCTGCCGGTCCTGTGTCTGGCCCTGCAGAACCGCGGCCTGGGTTCTGGATCCTGCAAGCCAGTCTCAGGGAAGTCCCGAAACCGCGCAGCAAATCGTAGAGCTTCTACTGCACAACATGCGCTATAGCCAGCTCGCTGGGTTTACGCTGGAGTGCATGGGTTCAATACTTTGGAGCGTGGGCAGCATGTGGGGCTCATCCGCAGCCCGCAGTAACCAGAGGAGTCGCAGCACTAACGACAGCGATACTACTCCTGAACGTTTTCCCCATATAGATATGGAACTAGGGTCCGACTGTAGCTGCCTGCAGCTGCCAAGTGACCAGCAGCGGGTCATGCTGCAGGTCGTACAGAAGTGGCTGGCAAGCTCCGAAACCATGGAGTGGCTGGCGAACAAGTCGTACACTACCCGCTTGTCGGATCTCGTGTCGCTGCTGTGGGGCTATGCGGCTCTGTTACTTGTGGCGACGCCAGATATGCAGCAATCCCAGCGACAGCAGCAGGTGGAAGGAGCCGTGGGCAGAAGCAAGCGTCAACCGGGGCTTGATCCTTGCAAAGTCTTTGCTCCGGATACAGGTAGCACAACAGCAGACGGATTCAGAGTTGACGCCCGGCCTTCCCTGGATCATTTGGCGCGTCGCACGGCAGACTTGTTGACTGCGTCGTACGGTACGGGCGAGCCGGTGGCAGCTGCAGCGGAGCTTACGGATCTGGCTTGGGCGTTATCTGTGATTGATCAAAGGTAACGTACGGATCCGGGCATCTTTTTGTGTGGGTTTAGATATACTGAGCCACGAGGGAGACCCCTAGCCATTAGAGGCAGTCCAACAGTCTGCAGCTGGCATGTTTACCGTACACCGGTTTGTTTGCAATACGAGAACACGACTCATACATGAAAGGTGGGTTAAGTGCGGCGCTCCTTTACGCACACGGCTGCATGCAGGTCTGCTGCTACGGCTCAGCTAGCCGAGGCAATAGCACATGAAGTGTACCGCCAATTGTCCAACCGCTACAGCCTGCAAGCGCCTTTCACTGCAGGGGACATCGTCAAAATCGTACAATCCTATGCTCAAATGGGGCTAACCGATGGTAGGTTATCAGGCGCCAACTGGAGCCCGAATCCTGCGAAGTCACCTCACTTCCTCTCAGTTCCGTACGAGTCGGGTTTCACAGGTCCCGTATCATTGGTAGCCATCCAGGGCATCCGCATAACTCCTTATTAATGACATTGTCCCTTTCTTGAATTAGCAGTGTTTGCTAGGTACGGTGCTCCGACCTGTAAACCTGTCTCCCTGCCTTCCCCGACCCACGTACGTGATCCTGGATCCATCGCCTCAGGATCCATCGCTCGCATGTACGACGCGGTTGGCAGTCATGTTGCTAAACGCATTCGCGCTGGCCATGTGGGTGCAATGACGCGGCCTGCGGACTGCGCAGCACTGCTGCAGGTGTGGAAGATGCGAGGTAGACCCATACCGGTCAACTAGGTGCAGGTAGAAGTGATTATTAGCCGTCCTCTGCCTTCCATGCGGCCGTAGGTGCGTGTGGGGTGTCCCGTCGATTTCTCGGACTCCTCAAAAGCTACTTCCCTATCCAGTTGCCATGCTTATATATAGTACATGGGCTTGCGGCCTCTCATGCATTCCTCGCGGTCTTGTTGTTGAGAACTCCTAACCGTTGTCATCGAGCCCTTTCTTTTCTCCGCCGTCCTTCCATCAGGGTTTCGCTGATGCGGGTCATGTTAGCGTGGTGGTGCCGGAGCTGCTCACAGCATGTGCAATGCAGGTGCGGGCTTGGACACTCCCTGATGCACATGTCCGGTTCCCACGCGTGCATACTCGAGCGCGCTTGCCGTACACGTGACGCCAGCGAGGCCGAATGAATTGTGGAGGGAATAGGGTTTAACAAAAATGGTGTTAGGGCATGCGTGGGCGGTTTTCAAGCATAATTTTAATCCTCGCTAACTGCCATGTGCCCTGCCGCTTGCTCTCGCTTGGGCCAACAGATTAGTCAGGAGGTAGCAGCCTTCAATGAGGCGTCGGAGGCTGCACCCGCGACAACCGCTGCTGCCGTCATTACTTCGGCCGCTGTATGCTCCAATCCTCCGCATTCTGGCGCCACAGCCGCAGCCGTCACCTCCAGCGGTAGCAGCAGCAGCGCTGCTGTTGCCTCCGCTGGCGCCGACGCCGTCACTTCCCGCAGCAGCAGCAGCCTTGCCGCCACAAGCGGCAGTGGTGTCAGCACCAGCGGAGGCAACAGCAGCACCCGCGGAAGCAGCATCGCAAGCCGTTTCCGCCAGCCACACGTGCCGTTGTGGCACCGGCAACCACCACCGCCGCCTCCGAGCGCCGTGGCACAAGCCTGGTGTAATTCGTGTCTCAGCCCAGGACAAGCCATTGCCGTGATATCCGCGTACACCGGCTTTGACTACTACCCAGGGGCCGCGCTGCTGGATTCCATACTGCTTGCCGTACGGCCCCAACTGCCGTACATGGCAGTTTGTGAGGTCTCGGAGCTTTTGGTGACACTGGCGGCGCTGCGGCACGTGCCTGGACCTCAGGTATGACTTTAGTTCTTATAAGGTTATCCAGTTACGGTATAGATATATCAGGTTATGCGTTCACAACAATCAGGCACCATTGTAAAAGGCACTGAAACCCCTGAAAGGGCTAATTGCTCCCGCTGCCGCATCCGCAGCTCTAGTGTTTCAGCTATTTGTGGCTAATCGACGTAATCGTGCATCTCCCGACATTTAGACGCTGGAAATCATGGCGACGGCGGCTCTATTCCCATGTACGGCAACGTGCACCACAAGCCCTTGTACGGCGGCGGCGGCAGCTACTGTCCCGGGGTCCGCAACGTTATCCCTTGAGGCTCCGCAGCCGTTGCATGGGAGGCGGCCGCGGCAAGAGCAGCAACTCGAGGTGGCGGAGGTGGCTGTTGGGAAGGGGTTATTGCCAGGAGAGGCCGCAGTGCAGCGGCTCAGATCGCTTTGGGCGCTTGTAATGGTGGGCTGGCGGCCGGCGGCACGAACAGTGGAGGAGGTAAGCAGCGTGGCAGGACGTTACCACGTAAGGGGTAGTCGATAGGCTTGAAGCATCGCGGAAGCAATTAACACGGGAAGGCCACACGGCTTTGCCCAATCCTCCACCGCACCGTCGCTCTTCATCCGCCCTAGCCCTCATGTACGCGTTGCGATAGGTTTGCTTACCGGTGGCGTTGCTGTGCATCATGCGTTTCATGCCAATTTAGGCTTTCCTCATGCTGCAACATGGCAGGTGTTGGCACCCGTGTTGCCCAGCTGCGACGACGACGTTGGCGACGACGCCTGCACACCCCTTGACTGCGATGACGCGACCCGGCTGTTCAGCTTGCTTGCCATGCTTCCCCAGGAGGGGCTGACTGTCAAGCGGTTTGGCCTCGGCTGCATGAGAGCCGCGGATGCACTTCGCAAGGCAGCGGAGATGGTGGACGGAGGCGGTATCAGTAGCATCGGCGGTGGTGCGAGCAGTTCGGTTTTACCCGGCAGGCGTGGCGGTGATGGTGGTGGTGGTGGTGGTGGCGGTCAGGCACCCTGGCGGCGGCACGGCGCTGCTGTGGGTAACGCGGTGGTGAGCGCGGGGGAGGCCTCCGAGATGAATTTAACAAATACATTTAGGAGGACGATGTGCGTTGATGGTGGAAATGCTGCTTAGTGGCTGTACCGTACATGCTTAGGGGAGAAGGTAATAGGAGTATCTCCGCACGTTACTACTGTGTGCGTGTGCAGTTGTGTATGGTCTTGTTGCTCTTACTTTGGGTGTGACCAGATGCAGGAGTGTCCTGAGGGGTTGCTGAGGCGGACAATCCCGAACTGCCCCACTTACACGCCCGAGCTGCCCCACCCCCCAGGAGCTGTTGTTCGCTGTGGGGGCCGCCATGGCGCTGCTGGGCTGGGAGGGCTGGAAGATGGGTGAGCAGCTGATGCCGGCAGGCGTCTTCCGCAGGGCGGCGGCGGCAGTGCGGGCGGTGCTGGCCAAGCCGTACGCGGGCGTGGAGGAGCGGTGAGTGGTTGGTGGTTGGGTTTGGGGGAACACGGGCTCCCAAGAGGGGCCCTCCGGGCAGGGAGTGCTTTCTGTGGATCACCACGCGGCAGCAGGTCATTGATGAATAAAAGAGTGTTGCAGTGATCCCGAAACAGAAGGCAAGGGAGAGCGGGCGATATACAGCACTACACTGCAAGGAAGGAGGCAGAGCCCCATTGGTGTTTTGGCTGTGTGCTTGAGTGCATGTTCGGCGTGTTAAACAAGATTTGGCATGCAGGATTCCTTAATGGCGTTCCCTCTTTTGATACCGTATCTTCACGTGATCATCGCGCAGTCCCATTAATTGGAATTATTTTTCAGCTTCGCGCAGGGGTGTTAGGAATTATTTTTCAGCTTCGCGCAGCTCATGTCCACCACCGCATTTTGACTGTAAGAACCCATCCATGTAAGCCCAGATCGCCAAGACAGATTTACATATACCGCTACGTGTTCCATGGGGCATACTAGCATGCAGCCCGGGGCTGGGCAGCGGAGCTGACGGGGTGCTGGGGCATGTTGGGGGTGCGGGGAAGGGTCCCGAGGGGTTTCACCAGTTTCGCGCACCCCTCACAACAATTATTTTATTTTGCGCGAAACTGCGCATTTCCCGAAATAATTATTTATTTTTGCGCGATGATATTGTGAAGGTACCGTATTTTAAAAGCCATTTGCGTAAAAGGCCTATTTAGGAAGCGAGGATTACACTGGAGGACCAACCAGTAAGGAGGAATAGCGTCATTGTACGGCAGAGCTCATAAACGTTTGGCAACAGTAAGGCGCCTGGCACGTGAAACGTGGGTGCGTTGGGAACGGAAGCTGATCATCGATGTCAAGGGAGACGCCGCTGTGTTGTGAACGGGCCGCAGCGACAAAAAACGCTTTAAGAAAACGGTCAAGAACATAATCTAATTGTGCGTAGGAAAAGAGGCCATGCCACAAGTGCAAAGCGGTTATACAACCAACTGTAGCCTCCGCCCCCTGACCTCTTTCCCAACATCTTCTACCCAGATTCCTAAGCGGCACCTGTTCATTTCTTAGCAATCCATACTGGGCTAAAGCAAGAGAAGGCAGTGCTAGGTGTGCGGCACATAGTAACCGTCGATGTATGAACTGTAGCCTGCGGCTGTCCTTTTTTGTACGTTTTGCGTTTGTGACACTCTACCGCCTCCCATCCCCTTTGCTTTGCCCTTACTGCGGTTTCCTATGCGTTGGTATGTTATTTATTCCCCATCCGCTACCCGCCTGCCCTCTCACGAACCCTTTCCCAGAGAAGAAATGTTTACGGAAAAAATAGCCCACCAACGAATATTGAGCTATAAGTGTGGTGAATGGCGCTCATGTGACCAGACCAGGAGGCGCCTCATCATCTTTAGTCATCCAATGTCCCCCACCTCCCTCCCCCCCGCCCAATCCCCGCTGTGCGTGAGAGGCCGTGCAGGCCAGCCCCTCCCCTAACCGTAGGTGGCAGCACGATGACTTGATGCGTTTTCGGGTGTACTAGAAGCACGGGGACGGTGAAGAATGAGGCCCTTCCCCTACCACAGCCATGATGGAGACCCCCATGCCCCAAAACGGTACCCTTCCTAGTAGTGCGAGTCCCACCGCTAGCCGGTGAGCAAGTATAGCTGATGACAAGGCGACCCAACCGTAGGTGGCAGTCCAAAAACAACCTAACTGCTGAAGGGGCGCACGGGCCCCCTCCCTCCCCCCAACTTAACCCCTCACTCCCCTCAACGCTATCCCTCACTAATTTTATTGCATCCAGCCACCATATATCCCCTTTGCGTTGCCCTTACTAAAATTTCCTATGATGTGGGATATCCCTTAACCCAACCCGCTACCCGCCTGCACTCAAATCCCACCCGCTACCCGCCTGCACTCCCCTAACCCTCCCCAGAGTAGAAATTATTTTGAAAAAAGAAATGAATTGTGCATATTCCCCAGCTACCCTTTATTTGCCCCCCATGCCGTGTGCTAGCATAGCTGGCAAGGCATGCGCAAGCGCCCTTCTTTTCCTATCGTCACCATTGACTGCCATGTACTATGTGCCCTTACGTTTGCGTTACACCAAACCATTATTTGCTGCAAGAGCCCGTGTCGTTGCTGTACAATACAGCTGAACAATACACCTAAGAAAAGAGTAACGGGCCAAGGGCTAAGTTATCGCCTTTCAGTTCGGTGTTGCCGTACCTGTGCCTGATCACCACGCAGCAGGAAGCTCAGGAATCAACTGTAACGCGGAGGGGTGTAACGAGCAGGGGTCAGAGCAATTGTTTTCTATATTTCGCAGCCTAGGGAGTGTATCCTCAGCTCAGGGAGTTAGTATCCTAAGAGCCTCGGGTTTCAGTGACGAACAAGGAATATCCGAAGAGCCTCGGGGTTCAGTGACGAACAACCAAAAGCGTCGGTGGAAGCAAAAGATGAAGCTACGGTGGACTTGGACGAGGGGAAAACCAGCAGGGGGGATTTTGAGACCCTGCGAAACCCGTTGTTTTGGGGGTGGCACACGCAGGCCCCAGACCATTCAATTTATATTATGTGTTGATGCCCGTTTTGCGCGATGTTCACTGGGAGGCACGGTACAGTCTCTTAGGTTGACGTTGCGAAGAAAGGTACGATGACCTGCCTCGCCTATCGCTCGTATAATCCACAGGTGCGTCACCGAGGCTGCTCGCGCGCTTGCGGCAGTGGGCTGTCGAGACGTCACCAGACCTAGCAACGTGCTAGTGGGCAGTGCTCACAGCGGCAATGGCAGCAACAGCTGCTGCGGCAACGGCAGCAGCAACTCAGGGAGGCCAGCAGCAGTAGCACATTGCGAGGACCAGCAAGACGACAGAGGGGAAGACCTGGAAACTTACGAGCCGTTAGAGCTGGGTGTTATCAGCGGGTTCCTGCCGACGCCTGTTGCCTGTCCCAAGGCTGCTGCTACCACAATCGGCGCTTGCACCGTAGTGGCGACAAGGGTTGTGGTTGACATTTGCACGCGGCAGGATTACGCCAGCAATGCGTCGGATGGACAACCGCTGTGGGGCCGGGCAAGGTTACGACAGACGTTGCTGGCATCACTGCAAGGAAGTAGTGGTGAAGAGGAAATGACGGCAGGACGGGTGCTCGTGAGACTGCTTGTACTGGACGAGCAGAAGCTGCTGTCTTCCATGCAGCAGGCCGGCAGAAAATCTTCGACTGGGGCGGGGTTGACGACGTCATCATCACAGGTAGCGGTTGAACCGAGCTTTGCATATGTGGAATGGGCATTGCAGACGGCTGTAGGGTAGGTCGTTAGCTGCGTAGTGGCTAGGTTTGCTGGGATGAGCTTGGATGGAGTTGGTATGGAGGGTGAACGCTACCGGGCTGGTGGCCCCGTCCTCGCAAGGTGATGTGATTCATGTAAGTAAAAATTATCTGTTGCTACGGGGTTAGCTTACAAACAGCAGGGTGGCCTACATGGTGTTGGGCCTCAATACATGCGCGGTTCGTGTGGTAGCAAAAATGGCCGCAAAGCCCCTTCCTTTGGCGTGTTTCATCGCTGGAGCATGACACCGTATGTGCCCCGCTCAGTGTCTTGGGAAGGGTGTATACTAATTATCACACACAAATTCCAATTACTGGTGTATAGAAGAATTCCTGGCGGACCCGCTTATTATTAGGAACTTTACCACTGTCACTTCACGGCCAATTACTTCTATCATGCTTTAAGGCGCATGCCGGCGGGCCACTGCTTCGTTCCGCATCTCACGCAATGTATCTTAGTACCGGTATGTGAATGGGTCATGATGTGGGGAAGAGATCCACTGGCCTTCCCCACCGCCAAACGTGTAACCCCATCCCTTGCCCTTCCCGGATTTGGACTCCTACATAAACACTTATAAGCCTCAGGAGTTTACTAGGTTTAAAGAGCATGGAATCCTCTTGGCAACCTGAATGAATGACCGTTACAATGGTAACCTGGTCGTTGGTCTTACCCGGCTGGATGTACCGGTACTATAAACCCACCTCAACCTACAACCGGGCATGACGGGCCGTCCCGTCATGCGCAAGTTGGGGTGTTGCTTTGGAGCAGGTGCTCCATATTCCGGGCTGGTCGTGGTTGGATCCATTGACTGGTCGTGGTTGGATCCATGGGCTGCGCTCGCATGGGGCGTGCACCTGGTGCCACGTGGGTACGAGGCTGGACTGATAACAGGCGCCATATTGCCGCTTGGTATGCCATTGCGGGCCGTAGGTTTGTTCTGTGTACGGCACTGCGTGTGCAATCGATTTGTGTGGCCGAACAGATTATACAGGCTATGCAGCATGGCATCTTAATTCCAGGGCAGAGGAAAGCATGATGGCAGCTAGATGAGTGGCAGTCCAGGTCCGTCAGATACGCGTTATTGCCCTTTTTGTCACCATGAGTACATCTAACCGTCGTACACCATAGCTAGCCAGGGCCTTGGGAGAGGCGGTGATAATAATCTTTTCCTACTGTATACATTCATAGCCACCGCTACTGTTGGAGGCTTGGAGCGCATCCGGCGGCGATCCTACCGGTAGTGAGAAACTCGGTTTCGAGTTTAAGTCCGAGCGTACCGGTATACAACGTTGCTTACAAGGATACACATGCTGGAATGTTCGCCATGTCCTTTGCAACGTTTAGCAAGTAAGACTAAGATTACGATTACATGGTGCACGATTACATGGTAATGCGCATTCCATCAGCACATGGAACTTATCTAACCGCATCTTAAAAACGGGCATAGACGCTGCTCCCTAGTTACTCGCTGTGCCCCGTTAGCAACTACGTTCATTCCGCCGTACTCGCTGTCCAGCCGTCCGTCCTCAGTTCCAATTCATCCGACAAACACCCAAGCTTCTAGGAATAACCAGATACAATATAGCTGAATGAAGAATGTCCAGCAATGCAATATACCTGGGCTCTGTAGATTCCTGCTTGGACGTACTTCTAGACCCAAGCCACAACACTCCATTTCTAGGCCGCTTATCGCAGCGAACACAACTCACAAAACACCTGAAGCTGCTTACAGCCTTCGTACTTGGCGCTGTGCTGACCTGGGCCATTCTTACACAACGCTGTAAGCGCTTTAGCGAAGCACTTGAGCTGTAGATACGCGATAACTGCATGCGATGCTCTTCGCTTTTACAGCGACCTCTTCACGCTTTCGGTGCTGGCATTACCCTTGCCATGCAGATTACTCCTGCACTTCCCAACGACAAGCGTGGGGCACCACAGCCGGTGCGGTCAGCACTGCTCGTAGAGGAGTGTCACCATCCGGTAAAGCTCATAGCGACCTCGTCGGAGGGAGAGCGGTTCGTTTACACCATGATGATGGACGTATGGTAAGTATTCGCGTTCAACACAGCAGGTTGTTGCCTGCAGTGGCTACCACCTTAGAGCTCCCCATAAAACATTTTTCAATAGTAGAGGACGGCAGAGTGCATATTGGTAAAGCGGCTAGACAGACGATGCATTGTCCCTCGTCCCTCTCCCACGGGGCGGATGAGGCCTCGTCACAGCAATTTGCTTTTGCGCGCGAAACTGCAAAGACATCCGCCCACACCCTCAATGGCTTGGCAACTTCATTCAGTTGCTTGGCGTCCAACTTACTCCCCTTGCTTCAGCACTCCCTTCTCAACGCACTCTCAATACTCGAGCGCTCTCCCCACCCCTGCTGCTGCTGTTGCTTCAGAACCAGCTTCAGAACCAGGAGGAGGCACAGGCGCTCAGTAAAGCGCTCCACGTCATTAACACAAAGGACAGCGAAAGCGATGTCAGATCGCAAATGGTCAAATGGATTACATAGCTGGTGGTGGGTATAGCTTGCGCCAGACCAGCACGCGATTCGCATGCACGGTGACGGCGGCGGGTGAAGAACAGGAGTAGCTATAGACTAGTCCGAGAGTCCGAACGGAGAACTCACTCACCCGGGCGCTTCTGCGGTTCGTGATGAGTCCTGACACGAGAGCGGTATATATATATAGAGAGAGAGGCGCGGAAGACTATACGACTAGATTGTTGCAGTGTTGTTTGTGGGTTTCTTCATATAGCACACACGTTGTGCCACGGCGTGTACAGCAGGCCCCGATTGGGTGTCACTGCCTCCTATCTACACGACAGACTCCAAGCGAATAACGGTATTCCTATGCATTTTGGATTCGTTTGCTAGGTGTCTGTTGACGCCGCATCATCTACTCCTGAACTCCGACCGGCTGTGCTGCTGCCGTACGTGATTGGTCGTGATTGGCTCGGCAAGGCTGCTGTGAGGTCACAGCCTGCATGCAGTGCAGGTATTGTCGCGGGAATAGTTGCACCTGAATGAACCACCTGAATTGCTGCACCTGTGGATTGTTGCTTGGGAGCAGCGAGGTCCTGATTTCACATCCACGTGACTCCGGTGGTGGTCACCAACAGGCTTGCCTGTGATGTGGACTTTGTGGAGATAAGGACGTGTCGTCGAAAGGCAGCACTGAGTACGTTATTGGGTGGTTTAACGCAACTGTTTTCGCAAGCCTAGGAGTCGAGTGGTATCTTAGTTAGCAGGCGGGCAACATACATGCTAGTGTGTGGTGTGGTATGTGAAAATTGCTGTGGCTGCTATGTTTCGGGCAGTTAGTTGCCACCGCAAATTTCGTTTGGAACACAGCAGTTGCCGAGCTCCAATTGTGTGACGCTCTTAGCACGAAGCGTTGTGGCAACCCGCCGCTCCGAGGCGTGTTGTGTCAAGAAAGGAGTTTGACTGCGGCAAGCGGCAACCGCAGTTTAGGTTTAAACTTACTATGTTGCTTTACACTTTTGGCTTTGCGGCGCTCGTCAAGGAGCTAGGCGCGAGTTCAGGCTTGCGCGGTTGAACCATGGGTCGTTATGCGGCTTGTTCTGTCAGTGTGGCTGGAGTGGATTAATACGATAATTGGTAAATAATGCGTTTACATGAATGATTTGAGGATATTGGTACGTTTGACTGCTCGGCGGTTGGCGGCGGATCCAGTCAAGGCGTAAGTGCGAGATTTTACGGATTGATTACGGCAGAGTATGCAGAGGCTCGACCTTCTGGGCAGGCTCTGACCGTGTATTGGCTGCGTCTATGCGTTGGAAACAAATGTGGCTTTTGGTACGAGTTGACCGGGCTTTGGCCAGGGCGATTGTGCAGGTGGTAGGGTATGTGGGTCAGAGCGATGACACGAACTGCTGAGTCTCCGAAGCAATGGTAACTCAGCAGGTGCCTTCGTGTTCCTTATGACGTACGGCGGTGTGGAGTTACATCTACGAAATGACGGTTGGTTTCCATTGTTGCGAAGCTTCCTGGGATCAGCTAGTTGGCGTGGGCACGTGGGTGGTGGTGCCCGCGCCGCTGTCACCGGGAACGCCACAGCGTGCTTCGGATGTGCTGCTGGCAATACGATAAATACGATAATTGGTAAATAATGCGTTTACATGAATGATTTGAGGATATTGGTACGTTTGACTGCTCGGCGGTTGGCGGCGGATCCAGTCAAGGCGTAAGTGCGAGATGTTACGGATTGGTTACGGCAGAGTATGCAGAGGCTCGACCTTCTGGGCAGGCTCTGACCGTGTATTGGCTGCGTCTATGCGTTGGAAACAAATGTGGCTTTTGGTACGAGTTGACCGGGCTTTGGCCAGGGCGATTGTGCAGGTGGTAGGGTATGTGGGTCAGAGCGATGACACGAACTGCTGAGTCTCCGAAGCAATGGTAACTCAGCAGGTGCCTTCGTGTTCCTTATGACGTACGGCGGTGTGGAGTTACATCTACGAAATGACGGTTGGTTTCCATTGTTGCGAAGCTTCCTGGGATCAGCTAGTTGGCGTGGGCACGTGGGTGGTGGTGCCCGCGCCGCTGTCACCGGGAACGCCACAGCGTGCTTCGGATGTGCTGCTGGCAAGATGCATGGCAAGGAAGAAGGGCCTAGCCCATGTAGGTCGCAGCGACCTATCCGAAATGCCCAACTAGGACAAAGCGGATAAGGATTTCCACCGGCTGGATATGCTAACCCACCCTTTGACTCTTAGATAGGCGTCGTGTACTAAATTGCCCAAATAGCGTTCGCGGCATCTGCCTCGAGGTTGGCGCCTTCGGGTTACCACATGATGGAAGGCCAAAACCAGCTACTGGCGTTTGCAGTTTTGGCGAGCGCACGCTTACAATGCTGAGACCATATGCTATAAGTAGCCCTGCCGTCAGGTCAAACTCGTTTTATGTGTTAGGTGCGGTGCGTTCCGCTACGGTGCTTTGTCGCTACGGTGCGTCCCGCTGGGGTCGCGGCCGAGGTTGACATTTATTTGAACATGCTTGTATACCGTATCTTTGCAATGTTCAGGGAATTTAACACGGCAGCGTTCCAGTTAGCTACTTATATTAGTCAGTTTCAGCTTAATAAGATTCAGCTAATGGCGAGTCCGGAGTCCCAGGACGTTGGGCCGTGCGACCGCAACTTCGCAAAACATATAGTTTGCTGTTAGCAGCCTGTTATGCAGCACCCCAAGGTTCTGCCCAGTACAATGCATGACCATGCGGGTAGAAGGCGTACTGACACCGTGGATCGTGTTTTTGGTCGACTCCGTGCCTTGTTGCGAAGATATGTGCGTCCATGCGATGAAATCCTCATTTTGGGGGACCTCAATGCGCGAGTAGCCAGCTTGAGTGATATACCAGATCTCCAGGCTGATGCTGAACTGGAGGCGGCGGCAGGTGTGTCGATCGGAGGTGATGGGCTCATTCAAGGCATGCCGAGCAGGCGCAGTAAGGACCTATCCAGCAACCCATTTGGGCAAGGTTTGGTTGAGCTGTGCCGTGAAGCTGAACTGATTATCATGAATGGTCGTGTGCCCGGTGACATGGAGGGTGAGTTCACGTTTTACCACGCCCCCGGCCTGGCCTGTAGTATGATTGATCTCTTTGTCTGCACGCCTGCTTTGTTCTCGCGGGCATCGCATTTACAAGTGCTTGGCATTCCCATTGCTATGGAGGGGCCAAAAGTGGGATCGAGGCTCAGCGATCACTGCCCGGTGTCACTCACTCTGGACGTCGGATTAGGAGGAACGCGAAGGGGTGGTAACGCGGGTTCCTCTCGCCTGGGGAAACGTGAGTGGGAGCGGTACACGCGCCTATTTGAGGTAGAGGATGCTGCTGTCGTACAGAAGATTGACGAGGCTGTTAGCCAACTGGGCCATGGTCTTAACAGTACGGAGGTTGTTACCGTGATCTGTCGGGCTCTTAAGAAGGCTATTGACGCCACGTTTCGTCTTGAGAGGAGGCAGGGGTCCATTCCCAGTGCAGGCAGGACGGACATTGGTGGAGTGAGTGTGCGGAGGCCCGTGAGGCCATGTTTGCTCAAAAGGCGCTCATGCGTGCTAACGGTCTGCTGGGGGATCAGGATGCCAGAGCTGAGTTCAGTCGGTTGCGCACGAAGTATCAACGGCTACGCAGAGAGGCTAAGGACAAGTTCCGGGTCATGCATTTTGAAGGAGTTATCGAAGAATGTCGGGGGTGTCAGGTCTGGATGCCGTCTAGGTGGATTTGCCGTCGGTTCGTTAGCGGTCAGGGTTCGTTAGGCTTTCTCGGCCTTTCTAGCTGCCGTTAAGGCTTGGTTTCGTCAAGGTTGGTTTATGTTATATCGGTTATCTGGTTTGGTATTTGGATGAACGCCGTTGGTTGGGTATCTTGGCACGTATCTGGTGTCATCGGGTGCCATGTGGGCCCTACTTACGCTTCCCGCCTTGCTCTTCTGCTGAGGAGGTGCGGCGCAGCGCACTTTTTGGCACTACCGTGCGGTTGCGGTTGTGTAGAGGCTCATGATAGATCATCAACAATACTAACAGGATTCCAATATCAAGTATTGCGTGAAGACGCCCAGAAGTGGCCTGCGCATCCATCGAGTATACTTGCGTCCAGCTGCCCCTAACGTGGCCTAACAGTTTCGTGAACAGGTTGATATCTTTATTGAGTATCTGCATCCCTATTCTGCTGGGAGTGACTTCGTGGCGATCACTGCCCGACCCAAGAGATGACATGCCCGCGCTTTGAGGTATGATCCGAGTTGTAATACATATGGCTATCTGATCTGATACAGTTGCGCTACAACACTGTGTGGTCTGGGCCACACTAGGGCAATTGCCTTTGCTTTGCCTGATCATTTGGAATAGTATACATTCACTCAGCCTTCCCCCAGACGTTTGGCGCCGCACTATTAGGACAGCGACAGCCATTGGCCCTGACAGGGTTCCTGACAGGGGGATCCACGGGCGCTGTGGGGTCGGCTGAATGGCAGATTTAGTCAGAGGTGCCCTATCACGGATGTCAACAGTTGGGGAGCCTACTTTAATGCGCTGTTTAATGGGGAAGTCAATGCGTTTAACGAAGTTTCCGCGGACACCATCCTTAGTACCATCAATGGTGTGCCACATGGGAGGGGAAGAGGATGGGTAAGGGCGACAGGCGATCGGGTAGCACGAGTCACCGCTGCTGCTGCGCTTAATGTTCCGTTCACCTTGGCTGAAGTCATTGCTGCGCTGAAGTCTTTGCGTAAAACAAGTCTGGGGGTTTGGACAGAGTACCGGCTGAATGTTTCAAGTGTGCGACGAGAGGTTTGTTTTAGCCCCTTACCTACTCAAGCTACTAGAGCATATCCGCAGCACGGGGGATTATCCTACGCAGTTTGAGGTCTCTGCGCTCACGCCCATCCACAAAAAAGGCGATGTGATGGAGAAGGGTAACTATAGGGGTTTAGTAGTTGGTGGTGTTTTGTCTAAGCTTTATGCGTTTATGTTGGAGCACAGGCTGTCTCGTTGGGGCGAGCTGGTGGGAGCTAGGTCGCCGTATCAGGGAGGTTTCCGACGCAAGCGGGGTACCTGCCACAACGTGTTTTTGTTGCGACATCTGACGGACAAACATAAGGGGGGGCGAGGTGCAGTTGACCCCCTGTTCGTTTGTCAGATTGACTTTGAGAAAGCGTTTGACAAGGTGCCACGTGATCTCTTGTGGTTAAGATTGGAGGAACGGGGTGTGCATGGCGCTATGTTGGAGGCTCTCAAGACTTGTTACAACAAGGTCATGATGCGTGTCAGGGTAGACGGAGTGACGGGGGATCCTTTTGAATCTTCGCAGGGAGTCAAGCAAGGATGCCCTCTCAGCCCGACGCTTTACGGGGTTTTTGGCGAGGGGTTTGCTGACTATGTTGACGCTAAGGATAAGTGGCTCCCTGATGTTATGCGCGCTAAGCAGCAGACTCCCCATGCGGATGGCCGGCGTATCCCGTTGGAACTGTATCCCGACGACCTCAGCCTTTTCGCTACGACGCACAGACGGCTGATTGTGTTGCTTGCTGATTTGAGAGAGTGGTGTGAGGCCTTTCGGATGCGGGTGAATGTTCGTAAATGTGAATTGATGGTTTTCCACCTTCGTGCCAATATCCGCGAGGCTTTTGCTGCCCTTTGCCCCGTGGTGTGGACTTCTATTGAGGGAAATGCGCGAGTACCTATGGTTATTCCCTGGGTGCAACGAGCCCGGTAGCTTGGTTTGCACTTTGGTCCTGGCACACCTTTTATTTCCTGCACAGAGGAACTGTTGACCACTGGCCGACGTGCCATGTTTTCTCTTCAGCGTAAATTAAAACGCCTAGGTCTCTTGGTCCCTGCTGTTGCAGTTAAGTGCTTCGACGTGCAAGTCCGCTCCATCTTGTCGTACGGTGTCCAGGTGTGGGGGCCTGATGTGGTGCTGAAGTTAATGACGGACTGCGAGAATTCCGCGAGGTACTTTGACAGATCCTTGCGGGACCCAATGGTGCAGTTACAAAGGGGATTTCTTCGGGAGATTGCGGGTGTGAAAGTCTCGCCGGATAAGTTGCTGTTTAAGGAGTTTAACCAGCGCCCCCTGCATGTCTTCTGGTTGGAACTGTTTCTGAGGTTTTGGAATGACCTGGTCAAGCAGAAGGACACGGTCTACCACCAGGCGTTGCGAGGTGAAAATCGTTCGGCCCTCAGTACTGATCTTCATTATGATGGCTGGGGTTCTAAGGTGTTGAAGATTCTGAAAATGTTAGGGACGGATTTGACGGCCTTGCGGGATGAGTTGGACTTGGATGCGCGTGTGGAACGTATTGCTGGCACAGAGCTAAACGTGTCTACTCTCGGGGGTCAAAGACCATACCAAACCATAGGAGACCACAAGTTAGGGCAAAACAATGGGGGTAGGAGTTGGCAGGGTGCCACAAGACAATGGGTTGGTTAGCTTTCCCTACCGATACCGGGTCCGCGTTGCGGATGAAAAGTTGACACTCCAGCGAGCGGGCCGAAGAAAAAAACTGGCTGTTGTAGTTGTCTATTGCTGGTTATGGCTGGTATTGCTGTCAAATGTTGGTCACCAAGGCCCCACATGTGCTCGGCGTGACAAGGAGGCAGGGCCGGAGAAAACGGGGATCAGCTGTAAAACAAAAGACTAGGCAAGAAAAAGAAACAAAAGGGGGGCTTACCTATAAGGAGGAAGCCCAGCGCAGCAGAAGCCGCCACGGAAGCCGCCACAAGCGCGCCATACGTGCGAGAGGGAAAGGCAACATAAGTAGTGATGGAAAGTAGGTAAATAAGGACGCGAAAAAATAAAGGGACGGGGGCAAAGTGTGTATGGGTGTTGGATGGTGTGAGGAATGCGAAGGGGCCTTGGTGACAAGTAGGGTAGTATAGGAAAACGTAAAAGAAGTGAACTAAATAAAGCATTAAAATTGAAAAACAAAGGGAACAGGGTTATGACAACAGGGGACAAACAATGGGGTACGACAACGGGTGCGATGAGGGGAAGAGAATAGGAATGACGAGGGATGAGAGCAGGATCAATGTTGCCTGTGCGGTCCGGCAAAGGAGCCCCACTACAGGCCAACACCAAACAGGTGACCGCAGTGTCACGCTGTGAGGTATGGGGCAAGAACAGGGTGGAAAAAAGTTTAAGGGAAGGGGATGTGTGCCGCGCGTATGTAAGAAACGTGTGGCCCCAGAGGCGCCAAACGGGCGACGTGCGGGAGTGCTCCGCCCACCGAGCACGAAAGGCGCGATATGGGTTAGGAGCAAAAGGGTCCTAAGGTCCTGGAAAGGATCCCCGTAGGAGCACGCGACAGGAGGGCACGGGGTGTTAGTGGCATGGAGGGCACGGGGTGTTAGTGGCATGGAGGGCACGGGGTGCACGGGGTGGTAGTGGCATGGAGGGCACGGGGTGTTAGGGGCATGGAGGGCACGGCGTGTGTGGGGCATGGAAGGCACGAGGTGCACGTGGTGTTAGTGGCATGGAGGGCACGGGGTGGTAGTGGCATGGAGGGCACGGGGTGTTAGTGGCATGGAGGGCACGGGGTGCACGGGGTGTTAGTGGCATGGAGGTAGGTCAAGAACAGGCAAACACGGGACAACAGGTGCCAGACGCCGAGGAACAAACCCACAGGGGAACCCGGGTAGTTACGTTGGAATGATGACGCTGCCACCGTGCAGCCCACCAGCGGTCGAAAGGGGGAACACCGGGCGGAGATGCGGATGGAAGAAGGCTGTCAGGGATGACCGGAGTCCAGCACACGGAGGTGTTGAAAGGTGAGGGAGTAAAGGGACTGGGTGAGCTGAGCGCGGTCGAGGAAATAGAGGAAAGGATGGTCGTCAAGGAGACGTTGATACTGCTGGAGAGTGCGCTGCCGGGGGTGCTGTTTAAGTTCCAAGGCGACAATAACATGGGCGATAGCTTCGCAGAAATTGGTGGGGTCGGTGATGACACGGCGGAGGCGATGGAATTGGCTTTTGAAGATGTTGCGCTTGCAGCTTTCATTAACACTCGAGTCGGCCGAAACGAACCGGGAGAGACGAACGCCCCGGAACGCAGGCTGCTCACATTTGTCGTACAAGTGGGTGACGATACGACTGGCGCCGGCAGGTGAGGTGGTAGGGATGAGGAGGAGGTCAAGGAAGGGCATCTCGTTGTGAAGGAAATGGGGGTGGAGTTGGGGCTCGACGGAAAGCTGTGGCGGGTAGAGACCATGAAGGCCGGCGTGGTGGTCGGTAGTGTATAGGAGGTGTCGCAAGGATGGGTTGTGGAGGGAAAGGAGGTCGTCAAGGTACCGTTTACTGAAGCGGAAATCGTGGAGGACGGCCAGAGCAGCTGCGGGGAGTCCGGGCTGGAGGGATTGGCGGAGAAACTGGTACTCAAACCATGCCAAGAAGAGATTGGCGATGAACGGTGCGGCGGAGATGCCCATAGGGATGCCGCACGTTTGTTGGACCAGAGCGGGTCCAAACCGAATGAAGGTGGAGTCGAGGAGGGTTTGGAATAGGAGGTCGAAGTCGGCGAGGGAGAAGACGCGGGTAATGGTGTTATTGTTCCGCTGGTACGGGTGAGCTGGTGGGGAGACGGTGAAACGGACGGCGTGAAGGGGTTTACGGTCAGGCTGACCAGGGTAGACGGTGGTAGTGACGACAATGTAGGGGCAAACGGGTTGGGGAAAGTCGCCGGGAGGGAAGAGGGAGAGGAGGGAGGCTGCCATGAGGGAGGAGATGGTGCTACGCAGGAGGTCATGAGGAATGTTGGTATACAAGCGGGTGAAGTCGTAGGCTTGGCTTGTCTACTCTCGGGGGGGGGGGGGGGGGGGGGTAAAAAAGTCTTTGCCAAACCCCATGCTAAAAATGTCAAGAAAGGGGTGCCGGACCCACCCACCCACCCTGTCGTACCGTTTTTGCTGTACGACAACGCTGTAAACTTCGCAACATCGCCCCCAAAAAGCACCATTTGACTCCATTTTACGTGATCTTCGTCGTTCTCACGCTAGGCGTACCATTTGGCAACAGTCCGAGTCGCTCGCCAGACGGGGGGGGGCCCAGGCAGGCTGCCAGACTCAATGCTCTCTGGTACCGTATGCAGCCGATACACATCTCTTTTAAACCTCACATGCATTGCTGTGATGCTTGAGTGCACGGTTGCGTTGGTAAGTGTGCTCCAGCCCACCTGCCACTGCGTCCCTCACATCACCACGCCATCGGTGCGGCTGCGCCCCCTCCCCGGGGTAGCAGGTTGGGCTTGCACCCCATCGCCCTCAGCAACAGATGCAGAACCACGCATGTTTCCACCTGCCACGGGTGTGTCGTCAGTACGCCTGTTGCGTGCCCTCCCCCTTTAACCTTGCCCTAACTTTGTGATATTATTCGTTTGGTTCCTCTATGGGCCCCTTCCACCTTAGCCCCTGTCCCTGCTGCTTGCTTTGCCTCTGGAGAAGCCATACCGTGTATGTTTGGCCAGCTAGGGTGTTCCATGGGGACATGCCACCCGCAAACTCCACACAAAGGCTCTAATATTAACATAATATGCATACACTATAACAGGAATACTAAATCTGCTATCCGTTTCGCGAAACGATACCTAGGAAAAAAGTTTTGGAGGTCAAAGAAAAAAGTCATTGGGGCTCCGGACCCACCTACCCACCCCTGCCGTACGACCAACTTTGGGAGCCTATAACGTTTTCCGTACAACTCCGATTACAATTCTGAAAGCGGAATTGGAATGCTCTCGTTGAGTTCTTTAATATTGAAGCATGGGGTCATTTTGCGGCGAAACTACCCCCCCTGCTACTCTCACTAAAAGGTTTGCTGATAGAATGGATGCGGATTGGGAGGATAGGAGTTTGGAAGATGACCCGCGGCTTTTCGACCCAGTAGCCCCCGTACCAGGGGTTGGAGTTAAGATGTGCAGGTACAAAAATTGGATGGGTGTCCCGGTTGACAGGGGGTACATTACTCAGCGGCAGCATGTGAACTTGATGCGTTTTCGGCTGTGTGTGTGGGGCATTGAAGCCAATCGCCCTAGGGGTAGGCAACGAGTAGCGCGTGTCTGTCCTATGTGTGCCGTGCAAGGGTCGCCGGGGAGAGTGGAAGATGAGAAACATATCCTCATTGAATGTCCCGCTTACGATGATATGGGAAAGTGGTGTCTCACGGGATGCTGATATGATTGCTGTCATGGGCATGGAGAATCAGGCATTGCTTGCTAGCGTAATCACTAGCATGCGAAGTCGTAGGATTGCGCAGACAGGTTGATTGAAAGGTTGGTTTATCATATGATTAGCTTCCTGTTTGTCGTTTCTTTTGTTTACTTTTCTTCTTTTGGTTGTTTTCGCGTTTAGCGCTCGCGATCCATGAGCCTTCTGGCTCGGACGGATCTTACGAGCTCGGTACGAAGCTTGTAACACATACACATACACAAACATATAGCAAGGCAGGAGAGCGCGTTGACGCTGTGCCGGTTTACATTGCAGCAAAGCCAATAGTACAGTAAAGTTATCACTGGAAAAGGTATAGGCGCAATGGACCGTAACCCCTCGTCTACCTGCGTACATTTTGGTAGCCAAAAAACGCGACTGCTGAGCAGGATAAGATTAAATACCAAATTCTTTCTCCCTTTCGCGATCATTATTCTTGGCGCTACTTTCACCTGGAGTGTCATGGCTCGCCATCGTAAGATTCGTTTGAGCCCACTCTTTATTTTTGCGCTTTGCTACACGCTCTGCCCAATAATAGCTTTCGTCCGGTATAACCGAGTTCATGGTGCTTCACAGGCGGACCAACCATCTTGCATGGGTCTACGGGTCATGGAGCAGCTACGAGCTTAAACTCGTTAGCATCTGGATCAGCAGAACGTCAAGTAGCCAACCAAACGATCTCCATCCGCCAACCTTCTTTAGCAGCTACTGTCAAGCCGGTTAAGAAGCTTAGGCTAAATCGACAGCCGATGGCAGGAGCTGCCAAGTCTGCTCTGCGGCTCGAGGGCGGCAGCGGTGGTCGACCAATGTTTGAAACTGAAGGCGCGAAGATGGTGGGTGTGGGTGCCCAATTTGTACTAAGGATACGGCATGTCGGTCGGCATGCTGGCGGTTGCCTGCAAGGCTTGGTTTTCTGTGGGTAAACCTTGCACGGAGATGAGGGGCTTTCGCTACGGGGTTTGGTTTGGCAAAGCGAGTCACCTAGTCAGCTAGCTGTCTCTGTCCATTCTGTAAACGGTATCTTAGCACTGTGTGCCCTACTTGTACGCTTGCCATCTTACGCCTCATGTCTATAGGTTCGGACCTAACTGCGTGCTCAGGAGTTGATGCCTCGGTTGCTCGGTTTTAGAAACCCTGAGGAGGCCTTGCTTACCTTCCTTTGCCCCTCACCCGCAGACCAAGACTGAGGTTCTAGAGCTGAGACGAGCCCTCGCCGTCATCAACAGGAAGGAGACCGACAAGGACTCCAAGCCAAAACCCATCAAATGGGTTGTGTAGCAGACTAGCACTGCCTTGATAGGTAGCTCGAATGGTAGCTTGAAAGCTGTGACATCGGGCGACATAGATGTCCTGCAATCAAGCTGTAGCAGAGGTGCCGTAAGGCCCTGGTTAAACGTATGAAAGCATGTTGATCCTGCATCTGCAGTGGCTTTTCCCGCCCAGTATGATGCGGCCTAACAACGTCTAAACTTAGCCCTTGGCCCGTTACTCTTTTCTTAGGCAAGTTACGGTGTATTGTTCAACTGTATTGTACAGCAACGACACGGGCTCTTGCAGCTAATCATGGTTTGGTGTAAAGCAAACGTAAGGGCACATAGTACATGGCAGTCGATGGTGATGATAGGAAAAGAAGGGCGCTTGCGCATGCCTTGCCAGCTATGCTAGCACACGGCATGGGGAGCAAGTAAAGGCTAGCTGGGGAATATGCATTCCTAAGAAGGGTACCGGTTTGGGGTAAGGGGGCTTGCACGGGCTCGAGCACAGCGGTGGGGGGTGGTAAATCGAGGAATCTCACGAGCTGTATGAGGGGGCTTTACCATTGGGTTCCTCATGAATCATGAGTCATGATGGCTGTGGTTAAGGAAGGGGCCTCATTTTTCACCCTCCCCGTGCTTCTAGTACACCCGACAACGCGTCACGTAATTGTGCTGCCACCTACGGTTAGGGGAGGGGCTGGCCTGCACGGCCTCTCACGCACAGCGGGGATTGGGCGGGGGGGAGGGAGGTGGGGGACTAAAGATGATGAGGCGCCTCCTGGTCTGGTCACATGAACGCCATTCATCATACTTCTAGCTCAATATTCGTTGGTGGGCTATGTTTTTCCGCATTGCATGCATTCCAGTGGTAATAATACGTTCCTGTACTGATGAGGAGGGGCTCCGCCCTTTTCCAGCGTTGAGGAAGCTGAACCCCCTTGTTATGGGAAAGGGTTTGCGAGAGGGCAGGCGGGTAGCGGATGGGGAATAAACAGCATACGAACCCATAGGAAATTTCAGTAAGGGCAAAGCAAAGGGGATGGGAGGCGGTAGAGTGTCACAAACGCAAAACGTACAAAAAAGGACAGCCGCAGCAGGCTACAGTTCATTCGACCGTTACTATGTGCCGCACACCTAGCACTGCCTTCTCTTGCTTTAGCCCAGTATGGATTGCTAAGAAATGAACAGGTACCGCTTAGGGATCTGGGTAGCCAATGTTGGGAGGGCGGTCAGGGGCCTGAGGCTACAGTTGGTTGTATAACCGCTTTGCACTTGTCGCATCACCTCTTTTCCTACGCACAATTAGATTATGTTCTTCACCGCCGTTTTCTTCATGTGTTTTTTGTCGCTGCGGCCCGTTCACAACACAGCGGCGTCTCACACAATTGCGGTCCCTCCGTATTCCTCCGTAGTTAGTACGGTCTCTCCGTCTTCCTGCATCCTTCCGCGCTGCGGTTTCGCCCTGAACATCGATGATCAGCTTCCGTGCCTATTGCACCCGCACATTCCATGCCAGGCGCCTTGGCCGTGTTAAACGTTTACGAGCTCTGACGTACTCTAACGCGAGCTAGTGTGGTCCCTCCGTCTTCCAGCGTCCTTCGGCGCAGCGATTTTGTGCTTACCACAGATGATCACGTTCCGTACCTAATGCACCCGCATTTTCATTGCCAGGCGCTCGGGCCGTGTCAAACGTTTATGAGCTCTGCCGTACAATGACGCTCTTCCTAACTGTCCTCCAGTGTAACTTCCGCTTCCTAACTCAGCCCGTAACTTCCGCTTCCTAACTCAGCCCGTAACTTCCCTGGGGTAGGTTGCTTTGTTGCGGCTGCCTAGCGTGTACCGCTAGAGATTGGGTCTCTTGTACGGCTTTCAGGCTTTCAGGAGCTCCGGTCCCCCTTGTAACTTTGGCATTCTAACTCAGCCGTTCTGACTTTAAGACAAATAAGCGCGTGCGGTGTTTTGTTTCTGAATGGCCATTTGCTAGCTCGTACATTGGAGCAATAATGGGTTGCAGTGAGCGGCGCAGCTGTTTTGCTATTCATCTCCTTGTGGGTACTGCAGAATCGCATGTTGTTCTGAGCTTTGTAGTTTACAATGTAAATGGTGGTGTTGGGCGATGTTATTAATGTGGCATAGCGCTAGGAAGGGTGTACACGACCCTTGGGTCAACACTTGGCAGGATGCTGGTTTCTAATTTGTGAAAAGACTTGTGGTGTGGATTTTACTGGACAGGTGCGGAGTTTACTGGACATCGTGATCGGGAACGTGAGCAACATCGCCATCTATGTCGCACTTCCGTCGCCAGCCTAGCTCATGGTCACAACATGTTGCAAACCTGTAAGGAAGTAGCCACGGACTAGATATTGCATCGCTGGCAGCGCCAAAGCCCGTGGGCGGCTGGGATGAGGTTGTACGACGCTTGATCGCCCGGCACCTGATCATTCCAGCGGCTATCCAATAGGCTAGTTAGAATGCCAAAGTTACAAGGGGGACCGGAGCTCCTGAAAGCCTGAGAGCCGTACAAGAGGAAGCCCGTTAGTAGGAAGAGCGTCAATGTACGGCAGAGCTCATAAACATTTGGCGACACCAAGGCGCCTGGCACGTGAAACGCGGGTGCGTTGGGAACGGAAGCTGATCATCGATGTTAAGGGCGAAGCCGCAGCGCGGAAGGATGCAGGAAGACGGAGAGACCGTACTAACTGCAGATTGGACGGAGGAACACGGAGGGACCACAATTGTGTGAGACGCCGCTGTGTTGTAAACGGGCCGCAGCGACAAAAAAACACATGAAGAAAACGGTGAAGAACATAAATATAATTGTGTGTAGTTGAGTAGGACAGGAGCAAGCAATGGGGAGAGGTTCGCATGTGAACCGCGAGTACAGGCAAAACAAAGTTGACCGAACCTGAAACGTAATACAGAAAACTGCTTAAATGGCTGTTGCTGGATGTAAGAAGAGTGGCGAGTGATGAGTGACGACGCATGTCGGTGATGCTGATGGTGTCGGAATAAGCTAAAATACTACCGAGAACTAAAGCCCGCTGACCAAAGGTCGACGCCGGGAGCCCCCGCTCTGGACACGCAGACGAGACACCACAATGCTGTGCATGCGTGCGTGCAAACGCGCATTGCGTACCTGCGAGCAAAGACGCCGGAGTCAGCACCAGAACCAGCAGCCGCAGTAATGCGAGTAATGCCATGCGCAGAAGCATGAACCAGAGCGAGGAAAGGGGGACAGAGTTAGAGACAAAATGAACCTATATATAAATATAATTGTGTGTATGTGAAAAGAGGCGATGCGACAAATGCAAAGCGGTTATACAACCAACTGTAGCCTCAGCCCCCTGACCTCTTTCCCAACATCTGCTACCCAGATCCCTAACCGGTACTTGTTCATTTCTTAGCAATCCATACTGGGCTAAAGCAAGAGAAAACAGAGCTAGGTGTGCGGCACATAGTAACGGTCAGCGAACTGTAGCCTGCGGCTATCCTTTCTTACTTGTTTGTGACACGCTACCGCCTCCCATCCCCTTTGCTTTGCCCTTACTGAGGTTTCCTATGGGTTGGTATGTTGTTAATTCCCCATCCGCTACCCTCCTGCCCTCTCACAAACCCTTTCCCAGAGTAGTAATGTTTACGGAAAAAATAGCCCACCAACGAATGTTGAGCTAAAAGTGTGATGAATGGCGTTCATGTGACCAGACCAGGAGGCGCCTCATCATGTAGTCATCCAATGTCCCCCACCTCCCTCCCCTTCGCCCAATCCGCGCTGTGCGTGAGAGGCCGTGCAGACCAGCCCCTCCCCTAACCGTAGGTGGCAGCACGGTGACTTGATGCGTTTTCGGGTGCACTAGAAGCACGGGGACGGTGAAGAATGAGGCCCTTCCCCTACCACAGCCATGATGGAGACCCCCATGCCCCCAAACCGGTACCCTTCCTAGTAGTGCTGTCATGCTCCAGCGATGAAACATGCCAAATCATGACATGGGGTGGAACCTTCCCCCCCCCCCGACCGAAGACCTCGACGACGCAAGGGCGGAACAACAGCCCAGGACACCCCAAGTCACACTGCTACCGGCAACGGGTACGACAGTCAACTCCACAGGAAAATCCAAGGCTCGCACGTCTGGCCACTGAAACGCGCGCATACCACGCCGCACGGAAATCCACGCAGCAATCCTCAGGTTCACGAATCCAGCTACCAAGCCAGCCATAGAGCCAGCACGAGCGGCACTCAGGCGGTCAGAGCCTAAGGTGCACCGACCCACGGGTCAACCGGCAAACCAAGCACAGCAAACCCACCCCCAATTCAGGCAGGCAGGCCACAAAAGCGGCAATAGTCAAGTCTCCGCCACAGAAAAGGCACAAGCAGCAAGAACGGCGAAGTACGTTGCCACCCAATACCCAGCCAAAAACCAGGCGTCCTGGCCTCGCCCCTTGTCTCACCTGACACAACTGAGAAAAGAGTCACAGCGCCCAAATCAGGCATAACAGGCAACGCGGCTTGGCGTTCCTTCCCTAAGCAACTGACGAACTCGAAGCAAGACCGAGAGCACGCGGCTTGGCGTACCCACTAGCCACTAGCCACCAAGATCCCTACACCAACCTTCTATAGCGGGCCACGCGGCTTGGCGCTCCCCCTTTCTACCCCCAACAGCGGCGAGTCTGGCTGCGCTCCCTAGGATAACCCCTACTCCTCGCACTCGCGGTGCAGCGAGCCGGCAACACCAACCTAACTTCGACAACCTAAGCAATACCCCCTTCTCGGCCGCGCGGCATGGCACGCCTCTTCCTAGCCCAAAACAACGCTACCTGCCCTTCTTCCTAGCTCCCGTCTGCTCCGGCATCAGCATGCGCTTCGCCGCAGGCAGCCCGACCGCCTCAGCAAAGCCCCCGTCCCACTCGGCATAGAAGTAGTGGGGCCTCGCCAGACCGCCGCGGTAGCGCAGCACGCCGAGCTGCTCCTCGCGCCCGCGACCACGCCCCTTGCTGACCATGCGTACGATGCGGCGTCCATCCAGTGCCGCCGCCTCGTCGTCACGCCGCCGCGTGGCGGCGTTCGGAAACAGCACAGCGGTGGGCTCCGGCTGGGGCGGCGCAGGCCCCGCCGGCGCCTCCCGCTGCAGCTGCACGCACTCCGGGCACACCCAGCTGCCCTCGGGGACTTGCGACAGTGGTGGCACGAGGCAGTACAGGTGCCAACCGGTACCGCAGGCG